TTAGTACGAAAAATATTCAATTTCATACAAAATCTTGTCAAAATCGTTTTGATGTAATAGGGAAACAGTCACACTTTTACATTTGACAGCGCTATTTTACTTCAAAATTGTGACTGTTTCCCTGGTAGCATAAATGTTTTTAGTACGAAAAATATTCAATTTCATACAAAATCTCGTCAAAATCGAGAACAGTCACATTCTTACATTTGACAGTAGGTCGACTGAAACTTTTGTGTTGTGCACGACGTGCAATATAGTTAGGAATATGTTAGTCAGAGCTAACACAAAATTTTCAGTAAAATGATTCTCGTTGTCTAGCAACCGTTGCTAGGGTAACCGCCATGGCACACGACGTGCAATACAGCTAAGAAAATGTTAGTCAGATCCGTATCGTTGTTCGTATACCCAAAAAAAAATGTCGCTGAATGAGCCGGGGTGGCGATGCGGGTACCCCCGTAAGGGTGTCAAGCAATAAAAGGAATTTAATTATTAACTGTGCAGACAGTTCTGCACAGCGTGCGTTATGAGTTGTAAAAGATATATAACTTGTCATCAGTACAGCACAGCGAGAATTAGAAATGGAAAAAAATAACATAAAATTTAGTAAAAACTTGTATTTAAACTTTTCAAATAAATTAACATTTATCCTTCAAAATTTAATTTAGTCAAAAATCAATCCAAATCTAAGATCGGACGAAGACTTTGTTTTGTTAGTCGACTGAACACCCGGTCGACCACAGTCGGATCCAAAAAAAAAGTCCTGATGAGTACAAACGAACCAATCAGATTCTACTCCAACGGCAGAAGCAATTGATTGCTCATTTGAACAAAATGAAACCCAACACAAAAAGTTGAGTTGACACTCGGTACATTGTACCAAGTGCAATAAAACTGCTGCTAGGTCGTTATTTCATAATCGACCTTGCGGTATTTCGAAGCGTGTGCTGTATGCATAAATGCCGAATGCATTCATGTTTGGCGCCATCTCGTTATGTTTAATGATAACTGGCAGAATGACTGGTATTTCACCGTGTATAAGATTGTTTATGATGATACCCTAACGAAAGTTGTAATAGACTAGCGGGTTAAAAGGATATCTGATTGAAAATGTCAGGATGGCACATGAAACTTAAAGAAAAGAGGTATTTGTTTCATAAGTTCAGTAAAATGTACCCATATGTTTCTTTAATCAAAATGTAATAGTTATATATTAATTAATATTATTATTGTATCACTATTTGAAATAAATAATTAGGTACGGTGCAAAAGTTTTTGGTCAAAAAAATTTTAGTCAAAAAAATTTTGGGAAAAAAATTTTGGGAAAATAATTTTTGGTCAAAAAAATTTTGGTAAAAAAAATTTAGGTCAAAAAAATTTTTGGTCAAAAAAATTTTGGAAAAAAAATTTTTGGTCAAAAAAATTTTGGTCAAAAAAATTTTGGTCAAAAAATTTTTGAACAAAAAAATTTTTGGTCAAAAAATTTTGGTCAAAAAAATTTTGGTCAAAAAAATTTTGGCCCAAAAAATTTTCGGAAAAAAATTTTTGGTCACAAAAAATTTGGCCCAAAAAAATTTAGGTCAAAAAAAATTTTGGTCAAAAAAGTTTTGGTCAAAAAAATTTTTGGTCAAAAAAATTTGGTCAAAAAAATTTTAGTCCAAAAAATTTTAATTGGAAAAAATTTTTCGTCAAAAAAATTTTAGCCCAAAAAATTTTTGGTCAAAAAAATTTTGGTCAAAAAAATTTGGCCCTAAAAAATTTGGTCAAAAAAATTTTTGGTCAAAAAAATTTTAGTCAAAAAAATTTTGATCAAAAAAATTTTGGCCTAAACAATTTTGGTCAAAAAAAATTTGGCCCACAAAAATTTTGGTCCGAAAAATTTTGGGAAAAAAGTTTTAGGCCAAAAAATCTTGGAAAAAAATTTTGGTCAAAAAAATTTTTGGTTAAAAAAATTTTAGTCAAAAAAATTTTTGGTCAAAAAAATTTTGGTCAAAAAAATTTTGGTCAAAAAAATGTTTGGACAAAAAAATTTTTGGTCAAAAAATTTTGGTCAAAAAAATTTTGGCCCAAAAAATTTTCGGAAAAAAATTTTTGGTCAAAAAAATTTCGGTTACAAAAAATTTGGCCCAAAAAAATTTGGTCAAAAAATTTTTGGTCAAAAAAATTTTTGGTCAAAAAAGTTTTGGTCAAAAAAATTTTTGGTCAAAAAAATTTGGTCAAAAAAATTTTGGTCAAAAAAATTTTGGTCAAAAAAATTTTAGTCCAAAAAATTTTGTTTGGAAAAAAATTTTTCGTCAAAAAAATTTTGGCCCGAAAAATTTTTGGAAAAAATTTTTGGTCAAAAAAATTTTGGTCAAAAAAATTTGGCGCTAAAAATTTGGTCAAAAAAATTTTTGGTCAAAAAAATTTTGGTCAAAAAAATTTTTGGTCAAAAAAATTTTGGTCAAAAAAATTTTGGCCCAAAAAATTTTGGTCAAAAAAAATTTGGCCCACAAAAATTTTTGGTCAAAAAAATTTTGGTCAGAAAAATTTTGGGAAAAAAGTTTTGGACCAAAAAATCTTGGGAAAAAATTTGGTCAAAAAAATTTTTGGTCAAAATAGTTTTGGTCAAAAAAATTTGGTCAAAAAAATTTTGGGGAAAAAAATTTTGGGCAAAAAAATTTTGGGAAAAAAAATTTTGGTCAAAAAAATTTTGGGAAAAAAATTTTGGAAAAATTATTTTTGGTCAAAAAAATTTTGGTCAAAAAAATTTTTGGACAAAAAAATTTTTGGTCAAAAAAATTTTGGTCAAAAATAAATTTGGTTTCTTGGGCATCCATCCAGTAATTAAAAAACAGTTTTATTGAAAAAAAAAGTTTTTATTCAGAGAACATATGTTTCGGGTCTTCATTTGACCCATCTTCAGTGCATACAAATAAATTTGAAAAAAAAAAAACACAAAAACACACGAAATTGCACGAAAAAAATAAATATGAAAAAAAATGACAAAACGTCGATTTATGATAAATTTAAAAAAAAATTGTAAAATTAAAATAAATAATATATTTCATTATAACAAAGCTTATTCCAAACGAACATGTTGTCAGCGTGGAGTATGTATTACGTGTGTAATTGACACGAACTCGACGTTTTATCAATTTTTTGTTTTCATATTTATTTTTTCGTACAATTTTGTGTGTTTTTCAAATTTATTTATATGCACTGAAGATGGGTGCCCAAGAAACAATTTTATCATATATATATATATATATATATATATATATATATATGTGTGTATATATATATATTGTAAATAAATATGAGTTTATTAAATAATACAAATATGACACAAATAAAATGACCACAAAAATATTTTGCATAAATTTTTTGTTACAAATTCCAGATCACTTCGAAAATCTGGTTTAGCAATCGAAATAAAGTAAAACTTATATAATATATATATATATATATATATATATATATATATATATATATATATAGTTTAAAATGCCCAATTAAACAAATAAAAAAAAACAAATAGTGAAACAGTGAAAAAATTGTTGTTTATACTGTTTAAAAAACGACTAATAAAATTACCAATTTTTTCCACTGAATGAAGGCTAGTATTGTAGCCGAAACGTAAGGATGTAAAATAAAGTCTTAAAAGAAATAAGGCTTTTTTTATTGAAGCTATATATGATTATTAGACTTTGTTGGGGTCAGAATAAATAAACAAAAAATTTCTAAAAGTTTTAGCACTTAATATCAACATTTAGACAGTCCGCAAGTCAATTAAAAGTTTCGTGTATTTATTATTAACATATGTCATTAAGTAAATTCTTGCGCCATCTGTTATAGCAGACTTGTAATTTTGATGGAAATTTATTAATGATGATTTGAGTATCAAATAAATATTTTGCTGCAAAATTAATTTTGATCCCATGATAAATAAATATTTCGTTTTCGAGGTTAAGTGTTTATAAATATTTTTAAGTAAAGTTCACAAGTGCTATCACAGATGGCGCAAGTATTTACTTAATGACGTATGTTAAAAATAAATATACGATACTCTTATTTGAATTGCGGACTATCTAAATGTTAATATTAAGAGCTAAAACTTTTAGAGGATTTTTTTCTATTAATTTAGGATCTTGGGAGGAAAGAAATTCAAAAATGTCCATATTAAGGTCCACCTTTATATATTTGTATGCAATTACTATTTATAAATCTTAATTCTAATAACTGGGATAAATCGGTATAAAAACTATTTGTTTATATATTTATTTGAAATTTTTTGGCACTTCTAACTCATTTTATACAATAAATAAAAAATAATAAAACAGGTCGCCGAAATTTTATTACACATAAAAATAAAAAAAGTGACTTAAATAATATAGTCACTACTCAATATATAAACATACAGTTTTTTTTCGAGTGTTTAAATTAAACGATACCGACAAATATCGTTTCATCACAATCAAATAAGACACTATAAGATTCACTAGCTCACATTTGCATTACTATTATTTTAATTACTAAAATTACAGATTTATTAGTGAAGGATTTTGATGATATAATTAATTTATCAACATAAATCATCGTACAAAGTTTTATCAAAATCCTAGACGAATAAGTCTCATTGTATATTTCATTTTGCATATCGTCATATTTTTGAAAGATCTATTTTCAAGTGATAAAATACAGAAACTGCATTTGCACAAAATGTCTAAAGATAAAGATAATATCAACGTAAAAAAACTAATATAAATAAATTTTAAAATAACTTCATTTTTCATGTAAAGATGAATAAGATATAATAATGACACAAGCATAAGATAGCGTTGCCATGACAACGCTATTTTATGAGGCCCAGTAATAAAAATTTTATGTATAAAATATGACTTTCAGTAAGTATAATTTTTATTTGATATTTATTTATTTAATTATATTAAAATGGCAGTCGTTAAGTAAATATATTGGTGGTGTACTTACTACTATTATATATATATATATATATATATATATATATATATAAATATATGTGTGTATATATATATCAATTAAATTGTTATTTACACATTAACAATCTGCTGCTCTAGTGAAAAGTTATACTCGTACTCTGAAGTCAATTTGAATTCTCTAAATGGCGGCATAGAGAACTGTAACAAAAAAAATAATATTTAAAATAATAATAAGAATAGAAATAAAACTAGTGGTGTATGGCATCGTGCCTTAAGGCAAATTGCTGGAACTTCCCGTACCGTAATGAAATATTCGAGAAATACGTCGAAAAACGTTTTCAAATATATTATTACAAATACTGTAACTTTCATTATTTTTGCTATCTTGTTATATCTGATTAACAATCGTCATTTCATTTCGAATTCAATTTCAAAAAAAAAGCCTAATTTACACAAAATTGGAAAAGTGCTCCCGTATAGTCACAGTCTAAACATTATTTGCAAATAATTCTGTGCGACATTTTCACTTATATTGTGCTTAGCTTGGCGGCATTTTCACATTTTTCAATTTTCATTTTCAAAAATTGGAAGTGCTCCAGTACTTAAATAGTCTAAACGCATTTTGGTAAATATTTGTACCAGAGTGACGCTCAGACTGTGCTTAGCCTGAGTAATTTTTTGAATTTTTTCAATTCTTAATCCAAAATTACATAAATATTTTATGGAAAATAAAAAAAGATGTAATAATTTTTTATCTTTTATATTAGGTTGTCAAATATCTCCCTTCCGCCTTTTTGTATTATAAACCAAGAGCAAAAAAGCGGAAGGGAGATATTTGACAACCTAATATTTTCTATTTGCTGTCTTTTATTTTAGTTTGCTCGTCAGTAGAGTTCTTTTTCTATTTATTATCTTTTATTTCAGCTTGCTCGTCAGTAGAGTCCTTTTTCTATTCACTGTCTTCTATTTCAATTTTGTTGTCAGTAGTGTCCCTTTTCTATAAAATTGTCTTTTAATTTAGTTTCCTCCTCAAAAGCCATTTTTCTAACAAAATGTCTTGAAATTCAGTTTGCTCGTCAGTAGAGTCCCTTTTCTGTTTACTGCTTTTTTATTTCAGTTTGCTCGTCAGTAGAGTCCTTCATCTATTTTTTTTTTTTTTATTTCTGTTGGTCGTCAATAAAGTCCCTTTTCTCTTTATTGTCTTTTATTTCAGTTTGCTCGTCAGTAGAGTTCTTTCTTATAAAATGTCTTTGATTTCAGTTTGCTCGTCAGTAGAGTCCCTTTTCTATTTACTGTTTTTTATTTCAGTTTGCTCGTCAGTAAAATTCCTTTTCTATTTATTGGTTTTTATTTCAATTTTCTCGTCGGTAGAGTCCTTTTTCTATAAAATTGTCGCTTTCTTAGTTTGTTCGCCTTCTTTTACTAAAAAGAATATGTATCTTTTTTCAGTATTTTCTATTTAGTCCTTTTTATATATACTATCTTTTATTCTATTTTGCTCGTCAGTAGAGTCCTTTTTTATAAAAGGTCTTTGATTTCAGTTTGCTCGTCAGTAGAGCCCTTTTTTATAAAATGTCTTTGATTTCAGTTTGCACGTCAGTAGAGTCCTTTTTCTAATTACTGTTTCTTTTATTTAAAAACCGTGAAACGGAAGCGGAAAACTTGTTTTAAAAAAAAGCAATGTTTGTTCCGGATTTAGATCTTTTGTCCCAGGTTTCCGAAAACTAATAAGTAAATTAATAAAAATTATAAAAATAAACGATGAAATGCTATTTTTTTAAATAACTACGAAAAGAATTGAATACAAATTTATACAATGCTCAAAAGCAAGAAAAACAGAAATAGAACATAGATAAAAGAGTATTACATATAATTGAATGATAAAATTCTTTCTAAAAGTCGGCAATTCCGATAAAAAAATGATTCATATAAAAAAACTGATTTTTAGTGCATCCTTAAGTAGCATAAGAAATCCTTAAGTAAATTATTTTGAAGCCAATTCCGGGTCCCGGATTAGCATAACCTAAAACTTTCCGTAACAAATTTTTGAACGACATCAAAAAAGCACATTTCTACAATGATGAAGTAGCTGGCAGTTTTAGTGAACGTAGTCAGATAATTGTTCGTTTGAAATTGAAATCGGTGCCATCCCGTAAGTGTTAACATTTCTCATATTTGTGTAAATAGTAATTCGAAAAACAATAATGATTATTTTTAACTGAACCATGTAAATATTAGTATAGGATATTAAAAAAATGTAGATGTGGGTACAGGACAACGTCTGTCGGGTCATCTAGTATTTATATACATAAATATATTACAATCGACTTACATTATTCGGACTGTCCTTTATCTTACTGCTGACTACAAATGGCACACCATCCAAACTGGTATATGAATTTAAAGTGTACGTAGATCCTGGACAATTGTTCGAAGGTTTATTATTATACACATTGACGACTGGTTGTTTCTGGTTATTTGTTTTTGGCGGAGTCGGAGCTGGTCTCTTCGGTTTTAATAATTGATTTTCGTTCGTTGGAGATTTGGGCGAGAGGGACAAATCGTGTTCGAAGTTACTCTAGAAAAGAAAATATGAATATAGTAATGTAGATATAACTAGTGGTATATGGCATCGTGCCTTAAGGCAAATTGCTGGAACTTCCCGTACCGTAATAAAATATTCGAGAAATTTTAAACGTTTTCAAATATATTATTACAAATACTGTAACTTTCATTATTTTTGCTATCTTGTTATATCTGAGCAAATCAAATGTAAATTATAAATAAATTAATTTATCTCCTTTAGAACATTAACAATCGTCATTTCATTTCGAATTCAATTTAAAAAGAAAATAGTTTCCTAATTTCGGCACAAAATTGAAAAAGTGCTCCCGTATAGTCACAGTCTAATGCATTTGCAAATAATTCTGTGCGACATTTTCACTTATACTGTGCTTAGCTTGTCGGCATTTTCACATTTTTCAATAGTTGTTTTCACAAAATCGGAAAAGTGCTCCAGTACATGAACAGTCTAAACGCACTTGGGTAAACATTTGTACCAGAGTGGCGCTTAGACTGTGCTTAGTCTGGGTCATTTTTTGAATTTTTAATCCAAAATTACAAAAATATTTTATGGAAAATAAAAAAAGATGTAATACTTTTTTATTCTCAAAAGCAATTGGTTTGTCAATACAAGCAACAAGTTTTTTTACATCATTCAAATCGGTCGCTTAGTTCACTCAAAAACTGCCATTTTTTGCACACCGTCTACACAAGCAAAATGTTTTTTGAATTAATCTAATCGGATTATCCGTTCTCTCAAAAACCGCATGACCATTTATACACCCTTTGCGCTCCATGCCTCCGAAACGACAAGACGTGCCTTTTGCAAAAACGCCTCGCGATCGAGTACGAAACGAATGTTTTTCAATAATAGAAATCGGTTTTTCCATACTGTCGAAGTTATTTGTTTGAACCATCTAAACAAACTTTAGAATTAAAAATCTTGGTACGGAACCCAAAAAGATTTATATAAAATTTGAACATGTTATTAAAATCTCCATAAAATATCTGATAATTTGATGTGCATATGTCAAATGATCATTTTTCACCGCCAAATTTACTTTTTTTTATTGAATCTCCGAAATAGCTGGACCTGCCTTTCCAAAACTTTATTCAGTTCTTCATTTCGTCAATAGAAATAAAATGTTATTTGAATCATTCAAATCGGATGCTCCGTTCTCTCAAAAACTCGTTTTCTATTTTCTACACTCGTTGCTCCGTATCTCCGAAACGGTTGGACCTACCATTGGCAAAAAATAATCAGCACGTCTTCTTATCAATACGAATCGAATGTTTTTTGAATTATTCAAATCGGTTGACCCATGTTCCCGAAATCGTCGACGAAAATTTGTATCTGCACACACTCACACACACACATTTTAATTTTTTGTAAGGTGTCCATTGATCACGTGATCGATTTTTTAAGGATTTTTGAAAAATTACCCCAAAAATTAAATGACGTGTATTTTTAGTTACAAGGGAAAAATGTAAAATTGTTGACTTTTCCAAAAAATGTTTGGATATTTTTAGAAAATATCAGGTAAAGAATAAATACACGTGACATCTTACTATAGCACTCGCCAACGATCAAATGCTATTTTTTTAAATTAATTATGAAGAAAATTGAATACAATTTTATAAATGCGAGAAAAATAGAAATAAAACATAGATAAAATAGTATTACATATAATTGAATAATAAAATTCTTTCTAAAAGTCAGCAATTCAGATAAAAAAAATGATTCATATAAAAAGATTTTTTAGTGTATATTTCGTGTTTTTTTTTTTGTTAAACCTCCTTTACCTAAAAACCTCACGTGATTAAAGGACGCCCCCTAATAAGATATGCCAAAATGTTCAGACACTTTTGAAACGTAAAAATATAGATAATTTTGCATTTTCAAATACTTACACTTAAATTAAGAAATGGATAATTCCTAGGAGGTAGAGGAGGTGACTTCAGTTGAACTTCATTTGTTGTTTGCGAATCTCTATTTTTGTAACACACTAAAACACCGTTTATTTCACTAAAACAATAAATACAAATGTTAGAACAATCGATATCAGAATAACAAATATATCGAGGTCAATTCTCCCATAAAATAGAAATGTTATAGTAAACGATTACAACATTCTTCCTCGTTGTGTTTATATGTAAAATACGCCTGATCGCGCGGCAAATAGATAGACATTGACGTATTCACTTATCGAGGAACAAGCATATATATTTGGCGTTTTTCTTCGTTTATTTGCAAATATCTCTTAAAATATATATTTTAACGAAAATCACTTAATGAACAAAATAAGATCAATAAAAATCTTGATAAATCGATATATTATAAAGTGTTTTAGGAATAATATTAAGCTAGATTTGAAGGAGCAAAGTCGTTTTTTATTTCGTTCAACATTTAATTGTTGTATTTAATGAATAAGTGGACATTGAGCCATTTTATCGCTAGAAACCGTTTTCAATATTAAAGGATATAATTAAAAAGTCTTTTTTTATACATTTACCCTGCAATAAAATCATTTTCAACCCCCTGAACACCCTAAAACCCTTCAAAAAACCTCTAAATTGAAAAAAAACGCATAAAAATAAATTTCGGTATGATATAATAAAAATTACGTATAAAGTAAATAATATTTTATGTTTTCTATCTTGATTATCAGATTTTTAACCCTTTTTAGATCCTCGAAAACAACCCCTTGCTGGAAAATTGTTTGAAAAAATTATTTTAAAATTGAAAGAAAATTAAAAAATTCAAAATGATATGAATGTTATTTCAATTTCTCGAAAATAATTACCATATCCACTCTTAAAACTACCCTTAAATAATATCAGTTATAATTATAATTGTAGTTGTAATAATCATAATAATAATTTTGTATTATTAATGCGATCAATTTTCGGGTCATAACTCCTGTAATTTCGACCCCATCACAATTTGTAATATACCATTTGAAAGGTAAATAAAAGGGCTACAACTTTTTTTAACATAATTTTTTTTGTAACTCCTCTCATTTTGAAACGGCGAAGGGTTAAAGGGCTCGAGAGAGACTCTGATTGCGCGGCCGCACACTCTTTAAACAATCATAACTCTGTCAATTTTTGTGTGAAAAAAAATAATAAAAAACTATAATAAGCCAGAAAGATTCCTTTAATTTTTATCTATATATTCTAATACGTATTTTTTATTCTTTTTGAGATATGTATAATGGAAATTTGTTCTATTTTTAAAAAAATCGGAAAAAAATATTTTTATAAAATCGTGAATTTTCTGAAAATAGTTTGCACTAAGGTAAGTAAATCTGCTAAAATACATCAAGATGTCTATAATGAAGTGAATTCTAGATGGAATGTGAATGACTTTAATTTTGGTGGAAATGGCGCTCATTAAACCATATGATTTAAATGCAAAAAAGAACATCGTACATGCTTCTTATTTGCATGATAGCTCACTCATTTTACACGCAAAAAACTTGTAACAGCACTCATATTAAAGCTTATGTTGAGCACTATAAAACCCAATTTCACCGAAATGCATGAAATGTAAAACCTCGACACTAGATGGCTTTAAATACAACAATTAAATCTTGAACGAAATAAAAAACGACTTTGCTCTTTCAAATCTAGCTTAATATTATTCCTAGAACGCTTTATGAAAGACCGATTTATCAATATTTTTATTGACATTATTTTGTTCATTACATGATTTTCGTTAAAATGTATATTTTAAGAGATATTTGCAAAAAAACGAAGATAATCGCCAAAAATATATAAATTTTTAGTGGCCAGTAACTTGAAAACTATTAGTTAGTAAACCTTAACATTTCTATTTTATCGAAGAATTCATTTATCGATTCTTACCCGGCCGATGAGAATCCATCAGGAGGTCTTTTAGATCTCGAACAGAGTATGACATCCGTGACCACTTCTTTGGCATCTGAAGATTTGGCCAAACGATAACACAATTGTTTTTTTACGCCAAGCCTTTTGTTTGGAGTCTCCTGTTTTCGAAAGTTGGGTGAATCCATCTGGAACCGGATCTTTCTCACCTACCACACTGATAATGGACAATGATTAGATATAAAATCAATATAAACTAGTGGTGTATGGCATCGTGCCTTAAGGCAAATTGCTGAAACTTCCCGTACCGTAATGGTTAAATGGTTAAACGGAAATATTCGAGAATTTTTAAATGTTTTCAAATGTATTATTACAAATACTGTAACTTTCATTATTTTTGCTATCTTGTTTGTTATATCTGAGCAAATCAAATGCAAATCATAAATCAATTTATCTCCAGAACATTAACAATCGTCATTTCATTTCGAATTCAATTTAAAAAAAATAGTTGCCTAATTTTATACAAAATTGAAAAAGTGCTCCCGTATAGTCACAGTCTAAACGCATTTGCAAATAATTCTGTGCGACATTTTCACTTACACTGTGCTTAGCTTGGCGGCATTTTCACATTTTTCAATAGTTTTCACAAAATTGGTAAAGTACTCCAGTACATAAACAGTTTAAACGCACTTGGGTAAACATTTGTACCACAGTGGCGCTTAGACTGTGCTTAGCCTGAGCAGTTTTTTAAATTTTTAATCCAAAATTACAAAAATATTTTATGGAAAATAAAAAAGATGTTAGAATTTTTCATCCTCAAAAGCAATTGTTTTGTCAATACCAGCAGAAAGTTTTTTAGATCATTCAAATCGGACGGTTGGTTCACTCAAAAACTGTCATTTTTTGCACATTTAGCTCTGCATTTTCGAAATGGCGGGACCTGCCTTTGCCAAAAACTTATCTCCTCTTCTCCCAATCATTACAAATTGAATGTTTTTTAGATCATTCAAATCCGATACTCCGTTCTCTCAAAAACTCGATTTGTATTTTCCGTACTCTTTGCTCCGTATCTCCGTAACGGCTGGACTTGCCTTTGCCAAAAACTAATCAGCACATCTCCCTATCAATAGGGATCGAATGTTTTTTAAACCATTCAAATCGGTTGATCCGTGCGCCCAAAAACGTGGACGAAAAAATGCGGACATACAAAACACACACACACCCATTTTCTGAGGTATGCCAAAATGTTCAGAAACCTTCAAAACGTCGAGAAATGTAACAATTTTCATTTTCGACTTTCGGCCCATTACCATAACTACCCTACAGGAAGTTAACTAGTTGTTATTGGTATTTAGCCTTGAGGCAAATTACATGAACTTCCCGATATGTGTGAATAATCGACTTAATCAATTAAAAATAAATTAATTTATGAGTGATTAAAAGTGGTGAGAGGAGAGTTTATTTATTACACATACTTGAAAACGAATAAACTCGAAGTATTTTCTAAAAGCAAATTTTCAAAAATCAATAATATTTATAATTGAGCAAGTTTTTTGTAGGTCTTTAATTGTTTGTATGTTCATTAAGACCAAGTACTCTATCGTTATACCAAGTAAATCGTCTAATTTTAATTTTAACAAACGTCAAAAAAACTACTCATTTTCTCAAACTTTGATGAATTTTTAAAATTAAACTACTTGTCGTAAGGCCGTAATATTTAAGTAAGTTTTATAAGATTATGATATAAATCGCCAAAAAAAGTTCCATGAAAATCGGCTTAATTTTTTTTTCAACAATTAATTACAAGAAAACGGTCGGTAGATTTTCAACTAAAACTAATCAGTATCATTCCTAACTAATATCTTTCGAACAGTTTCTGATTTTTTAAAATCGATTCGGTACTATGAGCTTAAATGTGGACGAAGCACAAAACTGACAAACGCTAGTCCTCATCGAGATACATCGAATGGCTTTTAAATTTTTGAAATCGGTCCAGCCGTTTTGGAAAAAACGTCGATTTACGGCAAAAAATCTGTTCACACACACACACACAAACAATTTTTCCAAAATTGATCTCATTCGATTCAGAATGTCTTGAAACGTCGAGAAAACATAAAATTAGCAAATCGGATTTTTTGATGAAAACATAAACTTCTCCTTCGGGAAGTTAATAACGAAAGATAGATAAATAAAGGATGGAGATAAAATTTGTATACAACTTGTCCATTATCCATTGACTGTACTTAAAGTATTAGTTGCAATAAAAATATTTTCTTAATCACATGATTACAATTTAGACAGTGTATTGATTTTTCTTATCGCCCTTATCTTATTTATTTAAATTTCATAAACGATTTTGATATAAATTCATATTCAAACATCATATATACCTTATCTTATCGACTACGTAGTCGGCGGCATTGGCGTCAGTGGATTTTGTGATGCACAAGTATCTCCTCGATTGTGCATTTCTTGCAAATATACCTGAAGAAATAAATAGTTATAATTATATATATATATATATATATATATATATATATATATATATATATATATATATATATATATATATAAACAATAATTACCTCCTCCAGCTCGCCACAAATCTGCATCGCTGTCTGAATCGTGAGTCCTGGATATAGGATTGTAGTCTTTGGGACACCTATAAAAAATATTTAATATTATAATATATATATATATATATATATATATATATATATATATATTCTTCTATATATAAAAATGGAGCTCGTTAAAATGATCCGCTAAAACTCGAAAACGGCTAAACCGATTTGGCCAATCTTAGTCTTGAAAAATTCGTGCCAATCAGTAGGTTGTAGGAAATGTGAGATATTATTTCAAAATCGCGTAGAAACTTTACATTTTTAATTTGAAAATTTTTGTAGAAGCGTAATTTAAATAAAACAATGGACGGTGGCTAATACGTCAAATGTCGAACGTTTTTGACACACGATGTTCAATTACGTTTAATAGGATGTTTTACGTGAATATTATTTAATTATGATTAAATTGTAGTAAGTAGTTTTATTTGTAGTTTTATTCATACCTAAAAACGTTATTAAACGGATCGCAAGTGTTATTAGGAACTCAAAATATCAACTTTTTCGAAATGTTAATATAAAAATGCACTTTTTGGCATATTTTTGCTCAAACACGGTGCTCTGAGAGATCTTATTTGTATAATTATATACTCATTGGTATTTATAAAACATTTTCTAGATTATATTATTTTTTATTTATGATATTTTAATTCAGAACCTAAATTTGGTATTGATCAAATGAACATTTTGTCGAATAACATTTTCCCAATTATAATTTCCCTGAATTTATCGAAGAATAGATAGTAATATATGAAAAAGTCCTCCGCCGATGTGTCAAAAACCAGTAAAGTTCAGTATTGTCTAACAACAATATTTGAAAGTAGAGGGAAAAGGATGTATAACCAGCTATAACCTTGATTCTCATGACTTTGCTATCGGGAGATAAACGGTGATCTTTGAAAATCCATAATTAAAGTATTTTCTTCCGTTGGTAGTTTTTTAGCATTAGTTAAAAGTGTAATTATTTTGTAAAATACCTTTAAAATTAAAATTAGACATTAAACATGTTTGCCACCTAACCGTTCCAAGTTACCCCATCTATAGGGTAAAAAGGTCTAGATAACAAATTTTTGAAAAACATAAAAAAGCACATTTATCTACAATGATGAAGTAGCTGACAGTTTTACTGAACGTGGTCAGATAATTGTTCGTTTGAAATGTGTTGTGATATAATTGGTTAGATTTTTATTTTATATTTAATATTTGCTCAAAGTCAAATTGAACCTTTGTGCCTCGCCTTGCTCTACATATATACTTTTTATTAAAATTACTTTAATTCATCGAATGTTACTTGAAACTTTTCAAAAAGCAGGTCAAAGAAGAAATACTTAATTTATTTTCTATCTCTCCTCGCAGAAATTTGAAAATTTTGTATAAGCTCAGTAGTATTATTTACAATTATACACAAAATCCAGAAACCAAAACGAATTTGAAAAACTTGAAACGTATACCATGTTTTCTATAGTAAGTGTATAAAACTTCCAGTTTGATTGTATTGACAAAATATAGACAACTAATGGGGTTTATTGTTTTTATAATACCTCATTGTATATAGCATTCAAACAACACATCCTTATACACTTAAAGTATTAATATTTTTGATTCTCTAGAAATTGTTTTGAGTATGCCTTACTCATTTTTAGCAAAACAACGTTTGCCGGGTCAGCTAGTATATATATATATATATATATATATATATATATATATATAAACTTATGTATATGCCATACATGAGTCCTCGATGTGGTTGAATACGTAATTTGTGGTCAGTGAACTTTCGAAGTTCTTAATTCCTAGTATTCCACTTGCTAATTGGAACGTACATGTTCTAACAATAAGATCTATTAAAAAACCTCATCATAAATATTTTGAATCAAAGATAAAATTATCAGATTGATTATGACCAAATATAAACAATTGTCAATGCATGACCAATCCGATTCTATGAATACTTTCTACGACAAATACCAATCTTTACCATTAGTCATATTTAAATCTTGGAGATACCGATGTAGTCATGAAAAAATTCTTTGCGACTACGAGAAA